TGCAGTATATTGAGGCTATCGGTCAAGAGACATACATGTCCAGTCCTAGACTTTTGTGTCTTTTGGCAGCTGCCAGCTGAGCCAGCCAGACACCCACTGATATTTCCTTTTCCTGTGCTGCCTGGAGGCAGGCCCTGCCGCTATGCTGTGTGGCACCTCGCTCACCCTGACGCCACTTCAGTGGAAGAATTTGGCTGTGAGCCCGACAGCGGCCATTCAGGAGATGGTAAGCTAGCTTCTCTCCTCTCCACTGCCATGCCTCTCACCACCATAGCTAGCCTCCCAAGCAGTATCTCACACTCCTTTCCATCGCCCGGTACCCTCTCCCCTCCTCAAGGGCCCCTAAAGTCCTCAAATATGGAAGTCCCTCTGAAATGCAAATTCATTTCATTTCAGACCTTTGTGGACCATAAGATCCATCATTATCCCCTACTGGGTTTTCCTATAGAGTATAAGAGAAAAAAGAGAAGCAGGGGAGAGGGAAAAAGGTACCTTTTTAATCGCCTCTGTCTTTTGTGCTATTATTACAATGTAACAATGACAACAGCGACAGTGACTACTGCCACCACTTAGGAGGCATCTGCCATGTAGCAGTAACTGCAATGGGCTCTTATACAATGTCATTTAGTCTGCACATATGCACAAAGTAGCTATTATTGCCGTTTTACAGATGAGGAAACTGAGGCTCTGGGAGATTAAATCATTTGCCCACAGTCACACTATTAGGTATTAAGTGGCAGAATCAGGATTAGAACTCAGGTCTGACTGACTCCACAGTCATTACCACTATGCTCCCTTAGATAACTTGAAAAGGATAAACTGACTGTTCTTAGACAGAGAGGCAGGGGAAAGCTTGGAGAATGTATTCTACTCCCAGCAGGCTAAAGACAGTTATAAGGCAGCAGGGTTAGTGGAAAGAGTACAGGCATGGGTGTCAGACAGTCCCGGGTACAAATCTTCATGCTACCTCTTATTATTTTGTACAGACTGCAGGCAAGTTAGTAAACTTCATAGAGCCCCAGTTTCTTCATCTCTATAACAGGGATAATAACACTTACCTCACAGGGACACGGAAGCAGTCTAAAACACAGGGGGTGTGGGGCAGTGGTGACACAGTATGCCAGCAGCAGGCCTGGTCTCTCAAAGTTCCCTGCACCCCCCAGCAACTTCCAACCCCGCCATGGGCCGCCAAGAACTTGGATATAAATCCCACGTCTCGGTCTGAGAGTAAAAGGAAAAATCCTGATCTTACCTTCACAGATGTGCAGGAGGTTGGAGGTGGGGAAATATGTGTTCCCTGATACTCCAAGTAGTAATGCTGAATGTATTTGTCCCAAATGACTGTTATATATGCTGGGTAGGGTTTTTAGTATTATTAGGTACATTATGAATTAAACATGCTCTTGTAGGTTTACCTAGACTTTTGAATACCATATATAGAATGAAATAAAAATAATCAGAGTAACAGTGCTTTAAAAAGTATACAATATTCATAGTATTGTAATTATAACACTTCTTAATGTGGAAGTTAATTCTGAGTGCCAAACATCTAATTTAACTAAATTTTGGAGCATAACCTTTTTTAAAATTTAGAACTACTTATTAACAAAGAGAGACTCTGCTTGTCTGACAGACTTCTCTATTTTC